CAAATGAGTATCTTCCCATCATTTGTCGCGATGATGAAAAATTGAAAAAAATAGCAGTGCCTTTACCTGATGCTCTAACTGCCGCGTCGAATCTTCTCGAGATGCAACGTGCGCCTCTCTCTCAGCAGTCAGTCTGACGCTCTCACGAAGAGCCTGTTCCAGTTCTCGTACTCTCACCTCCTTTTCAGCAATCACGTTCTGGAAGAATGAAAGGCATCTATGCAAACCTGGTGACACCTCGAATTACCAATGAAGTATTCATCTCTGACAAGTCTCTTTGATCGTGAATGTGGGTCATCAGCATCTCAAATGTTTCGCTAAGTTTTTGAGAAGCAATTTTTCTAAACCACGCCTACAGAACAAAATTCCCTGTTGTTCATGCATATAAGCTCCATTATGAAGTCGATACAACGCAAATAACTAAAAAAGTGGAAGTTTTGGGAACTGCGTGACCACCGAGCCTGGAGATTGGAAAGGCTCAAATTTTGAGAATAGTTTTAATTTTAAAAATAAGGCGTGCTGGTGATCCGAAATGAGGTCATGGGCTGAAATACGAGTAGCTGAAATATGCGTCGATAATGGTGGGTTAATTGATAAAAAGACGTGAAATCTCAACTATTCATGGCATCAACTATTACTGAAGCAGGAAATTTTGCTGCAGTTGGGACTTTGAAAAGACAAATCTGTCAATTACGGCTGAGCAACATGCATTATAATGCACAATCAATTAAGAAGGACAAAAACAAAGTTGTGTGCAGCTAAAAAGCCTCAAGATTTTGTGTCTTTTAAATTCTCAAGCCACCTACAGACAATTATTATTCGCGCACAAAGTGCAGGAGTTAAAAATGGTTGAAGGTTTGAATTAGTTGATTGAATAGCAACTAATTAGTAATAAAATAATAAGAAATAAAAATATTAAAAATGAAAAGCAAGCACTAACGACATGGCACATTACCATGAAATCATGAAAGTGATATCATTCTCCATGCTTTTATAAAATATTTGGTCGATATGTTGACAACCGAGTAGTACAATGTTTAACTGCTACTACCCAAGTGGATGAGATATGCTGTCTTAACAATAGTTATTTGAAAACAAGAATTTTGTAAATAATACTGCAAAATTTAAAGGTACAGTAGAAAATTTTCAGGCTAACACCAGAAGCTGAAAACCAATTTAGAACTAGACCGAATTATTCCATTGAAAGCTAAAGGTAAATTATTGTTTCCACATTCTCTGATGAATTGCACGGAATTTTTCGCGCATGGTGTCCAAAATTTGCAATTTTTCTCCCAAAATTTAACTTACGCTAAAAATTCAAGGCAAAAAGAGTAAACGTTTAAGGGATTCTATGCGACGAGTACAGCTACTTTGTTGACGATAACGTCCAAATGAAGACGTTAGCTTAGGGCAGATGTTCAATGCAAAATTCATAGGACAGCAAATAAAAAGCAATTTGAATAAAATCTGTCACAACTATTTTTAATTCTACAGATGCGTAAAAAATTTTGAGCCTTCAGTCTAAATTATTAACAATGGATAAGATTAAAGCAACTAGTTTACTTATATTCCGTACCATAAATTTTTAGCCAATCGATCATGGCTAAATGCCGAGAAATATTAAGGCAAAGAGCCACAAAACTAACTCTAGAGCAACGTATTATTTGTTATTTATTAGGGTTAAAAGGGTTGTACCGCTATTTCATAAGACTTTGTTTGGTAGAAAAAAGTGTTTGACCTACCTTAAGTAATTCGGCATCGTTTTGAAACGTATCAGCCCTCTGACGGGCTTCATCTAGCACCTGACTGTTTTTCTTCCGGTCTGCCTGTTGGGATCTTTTAAGGCTTCCGATTTGATTTTGAGCTTCATGAAGCTGTCTAGGGACAAAACATTGTAGCAAAACTAAAGTATTTGGTTTGCGCTCCCATCAATGAGTCTAAATGTGCTAATTTAAATATTATTAAACCATTTATTACCATGATAAATCCTAAAACATTACACTAAGGGGTGTTTTTAATGATTCAATATTGGGTGAAAATGAAAATCCCAAATTTACGAAGAAAATGAAAAATTTTAGTTTGTTATTCTCGCCTTAGTTTCCGTCTTAACTTTTTTAGTTGCAGAAAAAATCCAAAACTTTGTGGTAGAATCTTCTATCAAAATACAATGGGGCAGTACTGGTCAACAATGAAGTCGGAACTAAAACGCGTAGGCTTATGAATTTTGGAGATTTCCCAAACGTCACGTAGGTTAAAAGTAAAAATAATATTTACTCTTCAAGCTCATGAATCTGGTTATCCTTGTCAAGCTTGTCAGAATCACAGGTGCGAATCATGTTGAGAAGGCGGTCGACCTCGCTCTGCAGCTTCGAGGCTGATTCCATGTAGTGATTTACCTGGGACTCCAACTCAGCGACCGTCTTAGCATACTTCATCTCCGTCTCGTTGGCCACTTGTTTATGTAGCTTTAAATATCAAAATCCAACTCAACAGAACAGGTGCTAGTAACTAGATAAAAAACAACGATTTATTACTTCGATTAGAGCACATTATCTGAACATTCTTTTAATTTTGAAGTTATTTTTCTAGGGCTTGGTAACCGTTACGCAAAAATTGCGCATAAATAAATTGAATTGCATTCAGCTAATTTTGGAAACCAGATGGGGTAAAAAGGTGGACGCACTGACATCAAAGCTATTATCAACAAGAAGCAGCGAGTAGCAGCAATACTCGAGTAAAAGATCAAGTGCAAACACTATCCTACAATTCAGCACTTTATTTTAAGGATTATTGCTACGCCCTCTAATCTGTTTAACCGCAGCACAAACTATTGTTTCTTTCCTATATCTGTTCAAAAAGTAGAGCAACGTCACATTACACCTTGTTTAATGTTAACTTCAAGATCATATAATGTGGGACGTTTTATCAAAAATGTTTAGAATACTGGAAGATAGTGTTACATCTGTTTGGTACAAGAACCGTTCCCTCTGGTTTAATCTACTGCGGGTTAAAAAATGGAGACATTCACAGAGACATAGCTTGCATAATGTTGAGACGGATAAAGAGAGTCATCCCCGGGGGTCCCACCAAAAGTGTTTTTTCGTATAAATTTAATTGTCTTGTTTTTATTTATCATCTGAACAAAACATTGTAAGCTTTGGAATTGGCAATAATAAACTAGAATTTCCAAAAATAGAAAGTATAGCACAAAAAAACAACAACTTTAGAGCAGCGTTTCTGCATTTTCATGGTCCATTCATATGCTCATCTAAATTATTCAATTTTTTTCTAAATACAGTAGAAAAGCATTTATTTTAAAAAATCAGCTTCACCGCCACCAAAACAAAAAGCTTCCGAAATGTTTGAACAAGTCGCGTGAACTCAGATAAAAAAGTTGTCAGCTTGATTGCGTTTCCCAAACCTTTTACATGCTTTTGTGTCTGTTCATGATAGCGCTTTAGAGTGCATTGCAACTGTTCCAATGTCGCACGTAGATCTACCCCCAGTGAATGCATTTGTAGGCAGTTTTTCAAAATCGCGATGCCAGACGACTTACTGTGATATTCGTTGTATCCATGTAAAACAGTTTTTTTTGAACTATTTTTACACATTTTCTTATTCCAACTCAGTGTCATCATGACCAGGACTAAAGGATGGTGAAAATAAGTAACGTGATTAGGGAGAAAATACGTTAATGACACGACTAAAAATGCAATAAAAAGATAGGACGAAGTCTTGTCTCACAAACCTCATTGGAACAGCACTTGGAATATAAATATTTGCTTTACTTTATTTAAAAGAATTAAATAGGAGGAATCGAACTCATGGATCCGAGAACCACATAAAAAGCACAGAAACTACAGGCAAGCAAACATAAAGGAGAAATACAAAGGCGAATTATAAAGTTTTCTTACAGTGCCATTACTACGGCGGACGTTTTAGCTCATTTGAATTAAAATTCGAGCTGCTTTTAGCTAGCGGGCAGAGCATTCATTTTTAAATCATATAAAGCATAATATTTTAGCATTTTTCTTGATTTCAATTGATTCTTCATCACCTAAACCAACCAATGCAGACCTTCTTTGCTCTACATGGGTGA